CTAATTATTCCCTCCTGCCTAGAGACACCACAATCCTTACTTCAAACCTCAACGATGGGCTTTGCCTACTTATGAAATTTAAGTGGTATCATACAGGATGAATTCTTTTGTTTGCTTGTTTTTTTTTTTTTTGAAGATTTTATTCCTCCATTCATGAAAGACACACACACAGAGAGAGAGAAAGAGGCAGAGACACAGGCAGAGGGAGAAGCAGGCTCCATGCAGGGAGCCCAATATGGGACTCGATCCTGGGTCTCCAGGATCACACCCCGGGCCGAAGGCAGCTGCCAAACCGCTGAGCCACCCGGGCTGCCCGGATGAATTCTTTTGTATTTAGCTTTTTAAAAATCAGTATCACCCTGTGAAATTCATCCAAGCTACTATCACCATGACTTATTCATCTTTACAGCTGCATACTTCATAAAAGGAATATACCACAATTTATCTATTCTTCTGTTAATCAACATTTGGATTACTTCTAGTTTGAAGTTATTATGAATAACTCCAAATTTTTTTTTTGTACATGTCTTTTGGCGAGCATATGTACACACTTCTTTTGGACAGAAGCCAAGAGTAGAACCATCAGGTAACAGGGTATACTTACGTTCTGCTTTAGGAGATACTGCCTAACAGTTATTTATCCCCACATGGTTTTGCCAGTTTACACACCTATTAACTCATGAAAAAGTATTCCAGCTGCCCAACTATCTCACCAACACTTGGTATCATCAGTGTCTCTGTTGGGTGCATAATAGTATCTCACTGTGATTTCAATTTGCATCTCCCTAATTATTAAAGATGTTAAGAATATCTTGTTTTGTTTATTGGCTACTTGGATACTTTCCTGGTAAAAGGGTCTATGTTCAAGATTTTGGCCCACTCTAAACACAGACCGTCCTGAATTTTAGTTCTTTATACATCATGGATGTGAGCATTCTGTCCTTAAATCTTCTCCCATTCTTGTAGCTCATCTTTTCCCTCTCTCGTTACCTTTAACAGAAGTTTTCATTTTAATGTAGTCAAATTTCTTGAGTTTTTTCTTTTATGCTTAGTCCTTTTTGTGTCATTCTAACCCAATCTTTGCCAACATATTCTAAGATCATAAGAACACATTCCCCATGTTAACTTTCTAGACCTTTGTTTTACTTTAGACATTTAAGTTTAAAATCAATCTAAAGTTGGTTTTCATATAGGGTATGAGACAGGGGGTCAAGGCTCATGTTTCCATATGTATATCCAGTTGACACAGCAGCCTTTATTGAAAATACCACCATTTCCCTTCTACTCTGCAATTCCAGTTGTCACATAAGTGACCATGTGTTGGTTTGTTTCTGGAATCTTAATTGTAATCCAGTGGTATATTCATTTAACCTAACACCAATATTACATTGTCTTCATTTCTGCCCCAAATTTGTTTTCTCTTCAAGACTGTCTTGACTATTTTAGCCAGTTTTCATTTCCATATATATTTTAGAAAGCAGCTTGTCAATTTACACACACACACACACACACACACACACACACACACACAAAGCTGCCAGGAATCTGACTGGGATGGCAATGAAAGTATTATTTTAGGGAGAAATGATATCTTTATAACATAACATTTTCTAATTTATGTTATTAGTCTAATTTTCTAATTTATGACTCTGAAATAAACTTCTGCTTATTTAGCTTCTCAATTTATCTCAAGAATGTGTGTTTTTTTTCTGTAGAAATCTTTACATAGTCCATTATAATTACTCCTAAATATTCTATGTTTAGAAAATAGATTTCTCTTTTTCTCTTTTAAATTTCAATTTCTAGTTGTCTCTTCACCAACTTGCCTTTTTAAAAAGTTCTTCAGGTGATTCTAATGTTCAGTCAGGTCTGAGAATTCCTAACACAATGTTTGATGAATTAGGAAAGCATAAATATATTTTTTCCTATTCTTGGTCATCCTTAACCTAACTTCCGTGTGAAAATCCTTTGGCAATTACCTTGGCAGTCTATTAGCCACTTCACAATTTTTATAGAAGATTGCATATTCACCAAACCAGTTGTGGTTTGACTCTTGGCTATGCAGGGCTTTGTTATATTTGACACACTGGTGTCTAGTACAGTACCAGTCACACAGCTGCCACATAGAAAAGGTCTGGTGAATGATGGTTGAACTTTATGACCTCTGGGCCTCAGTCTCCTCAGGTGAAATGGAGGTCATGTACTTCATACGTCATTTGGCTGTTGAAATATAAAATAGGAAAAAAAAATTCTTAACTGTCCAATGCTACACAATAAAGTAGCATTATTAACTTCCTTTAGCTTTCCAGGACTTCAGAGACTCATCTCCTTATTAAAAAAAAGAAGTCAGGCATTCCATATGGCCCTACAGATAAACTAGAAAAAAGAAAAGGATAATACATGCCCAGTATGTCCATCATAAACATCATAACGAGAAAGAGACTTCCATGGAGCAACAAGGAAAAATATTAAAGATCAAGACTTTAACAGTATAGTCTGGCTATGTGCACTTAATTTCAACTTATAAAAACAGACACAGCAAGAGAAGACATGTATCCAAAATATATCCTGAAGAAGTTAACAGGCCATCTGGAAAGGGATTCACTTTATGAGGCATAATTAGATCTTATGACTTTGTGAGTGGGAAGGAAAAAGCACATCAAATGATATTGCAGACAAATGGCTAACATGGAGACATAGCACTGAGGCTGTGGCTTCTCCTCTACAAAACAATGGCTCTGCTTTTTCTGCCAAAGATATTTTTTGCCATCTGACCCATAGCCAGGCACTCTCAGGTATTTTTCATACCCTTCCTCCATTCCTACCCAGAGTCATTTTTCTTTCCAATAATTTCTTTCTAAAAAGAGCTGCCCAAACCTAATCTTTCCCAATCAGATCCTAAACTTGAACCTTAAAATTATCCAGCTTTATTTTGGCATTTTTGTTTTGTTTTTACTAAAATTTACCTGTTTATGCTTTGATAAACCAAATTCTAGATCTGGGAAAATTAAGTCTTCATAATTCTCTTCAGATCAACTATTAAAAACAAAAGCAGTTCAGATACTTAAGTTGGCTGGCATTCAGTTGGCCTCCTCATTTCCCATTTATATCTTATGAGTTTTCATTAACCCTAAAAGCTAAAAGGAAACAGAAATGTACACATTATCTTTCACATACTTTTAAAAGAGATCACTTACAAGGAACCACACAAATGGCCTGCTACCTTAAATTTACTACCCACAATAATACAAATACTAGAAGGCCCACATGATATTCTGCTCAACTCCAACTACTATGTAATTCCATGTAAAGTACTGAATACGAATGCACCAGAATGACATGTTAAATACAAAAGTACAGAACTAGAACAGATGTGGCTCACAGCCCTCCTGACTCAAGAGCCATGATCAACCACAAACTGAACCTTTCAAATTCATCACCAGTTTCAATGGAGATAGCAGGGTGCCTGGGAGGCTCAGTCTGCTGAGTGCCCTACTCTTGGTTTCTGCTCAGGTCATGATCTCAGTAGGGAACATGCTCGGGATTCTCTCTTCCTCTCTCCCTCTGCCCCTCCCCCTTCACGCTCACTCGCTCATGCTCTGATCTTTAAAAAATAAAATGAGAATAGCATCACCATTACCTCCCTCATAAGGCTATTTTGAGGAGTGAGAATTCACAGAATTAAGTGTAACACACCATACTAAGTAAAATATTCTTATTGGAGAGCAGCTTTAAGTGGAAGGACTATGAAAATTAAAATTGCAGCAACACACACTTGGGTTCAAATATCCTCTGTGCCCCTATTAACAGTTCACCCATGTAATGAGCATCATCTAGGGCCTCAGCTTCATCCTCTGGCAAGTGAGGAGGATAATCCTCTCCTAGAGTTGTGAGGATTAGATAACAATGCCAGGGAAAGCACCTGGCAGTTATTGCACACAGTGAAATGTCAGTGCCCTATTACTATCGAGGCTATTTTTCTGCAAATATATAACTGCCCTTTTCAGCCTTAAGTCCTGGGCAATGATTCTACGATTCAGTTTGCACAAGAGCTTTTCTCAGATGAGCAGTTAGGAACACAACCACATTATTCAGAAAATACATTGGTTCAGAACTACAACTGGACTCTTAAGCTCAAAACGAACGTGATTAACCTCATGGAAAAGCACATGATTATCATCAGCCTAGCACAATTATTGCTTCTTTACGGTTTATATTAACAAATCACGAGCTATTAGTAAAACGCATTCACCGAGCACATGACCTATACTATCCAAAGTCCCATTCTGGGTTCACTTTTCCTTTCAAACTCCGTAGAGCATTTAACCAATTTGAAAAGCATCTAGATTCTGGAGCGTAAAGAACCGCAGCAGTTTGGAGGAACATTATTAATAAAGTCCTTAGTTCTGCACCGAGCCTCACTGTTGAGTCTCAGATATACCAGTTGAGAGCAAAAGGGTGTTTTATTTTTTTTAAGATTTTATTCATTTATTCATGAGAGACACAGAGCGAGAGAGAGACAGAGCGAGAGAGAGACAGAGAGAGAGAGAGAGAGAGAGAGAGAGAGAGAGAGGCAGAGGGAGAAGCAGGCTCCATGCAGGGAGCCCGATGTGGGACTCGATCCCGGGTCTCCAGGATCACAACCTGGGCCGAAGGCAGTGCTAAACCGCTGAGCCAACCGGGCTGCCCCCAAACGGGTGTTTTAATGCATTAAATTCAACCTACAAACACATGGCTGCTACCTAAGAGAGATTAAAAACGTGCCTGCACTGGAGAGTTCCTTAACCTTTCCCAACTCCTCAGCCTAAATTAGGAGGCTGACGGAGAGGCCTCCTGAGCAATGAGAGTTTCCTACAGCAGGAAAGGACCTTGATCCAGTCCCGCCGGATCCGAACTCACCACCTGCCCCGCGAGACGCACGGCTCGCGAGGGGGCCCGCGACCTCGCCAGAAACGCAAGCCTAACGTGAGGCTGCACAGGCGCGGCGTCCCTAACCTTACCCTCGCTGGCATTCCCGACGGTCTCGGCGCCACCGGCCACGCCGGGCTCGGACGCCAGCACCGCCAGCACCGCCAGCACCAGCAGCCGAAGGAGCCCCATGGCAGCCAGCGCCCGGCCCCGCAGCCTCGCCCGCGCTAGCCCGGGGCGCTCGCGCCGGCTCCCATCCCTGGCCAGGCGCACCCGCCGCACACCTGCCCGCCCCGCAGCGCCCGCCCAGGGGTTTCCTGTTCCGGCCCGAACCCCGCAGCCCGGCTCCGCGCCTCTCCCCGCCCCCTTTACGTCACCGCCGCGGGTCCCCCCCCCCTCCCGCCCGCGCCCCCGGGGAGCACCCGGGAGCGGCTCCAGCCCGCGCGCGCCTCCTCCCGGCGGCCCCGCGGGTTCGCTGAGCGCCGCGCCGCCCGGAGTCTTCGCGGGCCCGCGCGCGTCGGTGGGGGGGGGGGGGGCGAGGGACCCCAGGAAGTTCTGTGATGTAACCTCCACTTCTCACTTTTGTACCTTTACCACTTACGAAAACCACCGTTAGAATAAAAAAATAACCTTCTGTTGCGGCCTAACGTCTGCACGCTCCTGGGGCCGCGTTTAACTGCCCTCTGCAAAAAGGAAGACTGCGAATCCTGACCTCGCAACCCACCCACAGATGCGGGGGACGGGGGGGGGTGGATTTCAGTTCTTTAGTGATGAGCTCCCCATATAAAGATGTAGTTTCATTTTCTCCTAGCAAAGATCCTCGAAGACTCCAGACCTTAACCCAACTTCCTCTCTCAAATTTTACACCTGAGGGCTGTTTAAAGGACAGTAGTCCACGTGGCGGGTGACTTGTGGGCCCATTGTGGGATTCGAGATACAGACTCAGTTATTTAGGGGAAGAGTCCTCTGTTTTCTTCTCCCTCCTCTTTTAACTTTTCATTTGGATATTTTAATGAGCAACTCTCTTGAAAATTACAAATTCAGTTATTCCACTACTAAACTAAAACCCTTATAGCAATCACCATAATTTAAACAGGCACGACTCTCTTCCTGTTTTCCCACCACCTGATCCAAAGGTTCACAGCTCTGGTACCACTGTCTATCCCATCGGTGTTTGTTCACTGTCCCACACGTCCTCATTCCTAGAACTCTCAATAGATGAAATCCCAGAATGAAGATGATAACAGCGATTACAATAAAGGTAGCGTTTGAATCAATGGATGCACTTAATAAACTGATAACTGATTCACTGCACCCCATGGGGGAGGCAGGATTAGAACTTTATCTCACCCCAGCAAAATGAAATCCCAAAGTATTCATTAAAAGCATAAGAGAGTTGGAAGAAATGCATGCTTATTTGAAGATTTATTTGTTTGAGAGAGAGAGAAAGAAAGAGCAAGTATGAGCAGGGGGAGGGGCAGAGGGAGAGGGAAAAAATCGAGCTCAGCTGGGGGTCAGAGGCAGGGCTAATCCCAAAACACCAAGATTAGGATTAGGACCTGGGCCAAAGTCAGATGCTTAACCAACTGAACCACCCAGACACCCTGAAATATATTCCTTTCACAAAAAACAAACTTGATCTCAGAATGGAAGGAATTTCTTTTAAAAAGAGTTTATTTAAGCAAAAATCTATTTGAATCTGGAAGCACCAAGCAGGAAGTGGTTAGAAGAATTCAAGAGAGGAACTTTCTAAGCAAAAAAAAAAAAAGGAGGAAATAATAAAAGATGATATTGATAGATTTGGCTACTTAAAATTTTAAATTGTATGAAAGTCGAAAAATACCAACAACGTGAGAAGTCAAGGGGCACCGTTGGGCACGTGTTGGTTTGGGCTACAGTCATAATCTCAGGGTAGTGAGATCCACTTGTCTCGGGCTTATACTCAGGAGCCAGTGTGAGATTCTCTCTCCCTCTCCCTCTGCCCCTCCTGCTCCTGCTCCTGCTCTTTCTCTCTAAAATAAAGAAGAAAGAAAAGAAAGAAAGAAATCAAGTTAATGACTGAAAAAAATAGTAATAAGAGAAGAAAACCAAATGGCCAATAAACAAATGAAAAACTTCCAAACTCACTAGTAACAAAAACAACAAAAATCAAATTAAGACACTAGGGGTGCCTGGATGACTCAGTCTATTAAGCTTTTAACCTCTTGATTTCAGATCAGGTCATGATTGGGGAGACCTCATGTGGGGCTCTGCACTCAGCATGGAGTCTCTTAGGATTCTCTCTCCCTCGCCCTCTGTCCCTACCCCCACTTGCACATGTTCTCTCTCCCTCTCTCAAAATAAGTCTTTACAAATCTTTAAATAAAAAAAATTAAGACCTAAGTTGTAAACATTTTAGAAGAATATCCAGTGTGGATGCAAGAACTGAGAAGTAGACATTCTAAGATAGGACCAGTGGGAGTATGTTAACATACTTTTTAAAGCATAATCTGCATAAAATTTTTTAAAAATATCCATACCTTTGGTGTGATAATTCCACTTTGAGATTTAAGTATGTATATATGTACAAATATTAGATATCTGTACAAATTAGTGCATAAAACTATCAAGGTATTAAAGATTTTATTTATTTGAGAGAGAGAGAGCACAAGGGTGTGAGGGGCAGAGGGGAAAGGACAAGCCAATTTTGCCCTGAGCAAAGAGCCCCATGTGGGGCCCAACCCCACAACCCTGAGATCATAACCTGAGTCAACATCAAAGGTAGGACGCTTAAACTGACTGACCCACATTGGTACCCCTTCATCAAGCTTTAGAGAGAAAAAAAAAAAAACTAATCTAAGTGTCCAACAATAAGGAATTGATTAAATAACCCATAATGCATCTATGTAAGAGAATACTGTGTAGCCCTTCAAAAATCATGTTTTTAGAAGGCAACTGTGAAGTGTTTATGAAAATGCAAGTTACAAAGCAATAAATATATGTAGTATGATCTTTATTTTGTTTTCATTTTATTCATGTTTAAACATACAAGAGTTGAAAAAAATCAAGATTTTTAAATAGTTATCTCTAGGTGATTGGATTAAGAATGATTTTTTTTTTTTTTAAAGCAGGCTCCATGCCCAGCATGGAGCCCAGTGTGGGACTTGAACTCACAACCCTGACATCAAGACCTGAGCTGAGGTCAAGAGTCAGACATTTGACTGAGCCAGCCAAATGCCCCAAGCATGATTCTCTTTCCACATTTCTGCACTTTGGAAAAATTGAACATTGAATATGAATTGCTTTTGAATTAAACATTAATTTTAAAAGATATGTATAATTTTAAAGATTTTCTTATAAAAGCATTCAGGATAGCAGTCTACCTTCCTGACTATGAGACAATGGTTTTCATGATGTAGCCTCTGTCCATCTCTCCAGGTTCATGCTGCAACTAAACAATTTCTCTGTGCTGGCTACACTGAATTAATTCCAGTTTCCTGAACTCACCCCATCGTCTACCCCCCCCCCCATATCTTTGAATTGCAGTTCCCTTTGCCTTCGGAGGACAACTGATGACAGATATGTCAGCAATCAGAAGAGGACTTTAGTACCTTGACTTTGAAATGAAATACTGTGACAGCTTGGGAAGAATATTGGCTGAGGTTCCTTGTTCATGTCCCAGTTCCACTGGAAACCTGTGAAGCAAATGGGCTCAGCAGCTTTGCAGATGAGTTTGTCATTCCTGGGAATTGAAATGCAAAAGCTGAGAAGATTCCTAAATCCAAGATATAGATAACTAGAGCCTTAACATTTGCTTAAAATTTTGAAAAGGAAGGAAGGAAGGCAAGCAACCTATCCTAGACTTTTTTATGAAACACAAGATCTTGAATAGAGATGGGAACAGGACTCCAAGGGAAAGGCAGTGATACGGGAGAGCTAGGTAATCTTGAATGGCTCCCGCGGACAACAGAGAATGAGTAAAGCGATAGTTTATTAAGCAAAGATACAGAGAAAGCTCTCAGGAGTGAGAGGGGTCCGGACAGGGCTGCCACTGAAGGCTTTTTGGCTGACCTTTTATTGAAAATCTAACCAGGGAGCCCTTGGCCTTGAGATTTCTCTGTTTTCCTGAGTGATTGACATATGGCTGTTTTGGGGTCTGGTAAGTTTCTGTGATTGCTTTATAACTATCAAAGGGGGATACTCCCTAATATTTTGAATCTAGGGAGCCAGGTTTATTTTTTATTTATTTATTTATTTTTCTGTTTTTGCTGCTTTATCTCTTGTTTTCTTGGGATTTATGGGAGTCTGACCCTAGGCCTCTCCCTTATCTTTCCCTGCATAGCCTCATCTGTCCCTAACTCAGCAGCCCTTTGTGAAACTTGACTATTTATCTTATCCCACTCTAATCTCACCTTCCCTCTGTATTTTTTTTAACTCTTTTGTTCCTGTGGGTTACATTATTTTGATGATACTTACTAAATTAAATACAATAAATGTTTACTTTGTAACTATTATATGGAAATCATTCTGCTAGGAAATGTATTCATTCGGTCCCCAAATATGCACTCATCGGCTTCTATGTGCCAGGCTAAATGCTGGGTGCTAGGTAATGGAAACACAGAGACAATTTTAATGATTCCTGACCACAAGCAGCCCATGATAGTGAGTGAATTAGTCATATATGAATAATTACATCTCAATATGCAGTGCAATAACAGAAGTATAAGGAACAATTGTGGTGAACATTGGGAGCAATGAACTTATTATAGGGTTTCAGGAAGGATTGTATTAAAAAAAGAAATGTTTAAAATAAGGTGAGTGGATAGTCAACAAAGGAACAAAGAGAGTCTGGTATAGCAAATGCTTATTTATGGTATTTTAGCCCACTGCTTGGAATGTTTTAGATCTTTAATAAATTGTGACTGAGTAGGTAATAAAGGTAGTTAAGAGTCTAGAATGCTAAGTTAAAGAATTGTTAATGATTTTTTTTCCTGAAAAAAAAAAAGTCACTACAGATCTAAAAAAATCAAAATACTTACCACAAGATGGGCTATGAGTTGATAAGTGAAGCTGGGTGATGAATACATGAGTGTCCACCTTATTATTCTATCTTTTTAAAGATTTTATTTATTTATGAGAGAGAGAGAGAGAGAGAGAAAGAGACATAGGCAGAGGGAGAAGCAGGCTCCATGCAGGGAGCCCAATGTGGGACTCAATCCTGGGACTCCAAGATCACGCCCTGGGCTGAAGGCAGCGCTAAACCGCTGAGCCACCTGGGCTGCCCTTATTCTATTTTTATATGTTTGAAACTTTTAAGAATATGAAGCTTAGGGGTGCCTCGTGGGCCTGGTCAGAAGAGCTTGTGACTCTTGATCTACCCCCACACTGGGTGTAGAAAGAACTAAAAAAAAAAAAAAAAAAAAAAAGAACTTAAAAAAATTATATGAAGTTTAAAAGAACATACTGACCAAAATTATGTGTTTTTTTTTTTTTTTTTTTAAAGATTTATTTATTCATGATACACATAGAGAGAGAGAGAGAGAGAGGGGCAGAGACACAGGAGGAGGGATAAGCAGGCCCATGCCGGGAGCCTGACGTGGGACTCGATCCCGAGACTCCAGGATCGCGCCCTGGGCCAAAGGCAGACGCGAAACCGCTGAGCCACCCAGGGATCCCAAAATTATGTGTTTAAGAGATACGTCGTACTGGGTTTCTGCTCTTCAAACCACATAATCCAGTTGGGAATGCAAGAACAGCAAATGAGAAAGCATATGAAAGAGTGTCAAAATCATAAAAGGGAAAAAGGAGAAGTCCATGTGGACTCCAGTAATTCATAAAATTTACACTGAAAGGTAAAACTGTAAAAGATAAAGAAATAGCAGCAAAGAAATTACTTGGATAAGGGTAAAGAATGAGGAAAGAGTGATTCTCAATGTGAGTAATTTTGCCCTGCAGGAGACATTTGGGAATATCTGGAGATATTTTTTATTGTCACAAATGGAAGGGGAGTTTGCCATTGTCACTTCATGGGTAGAGGACAGTGATGATGCTAAACATTCTACAAGGCACAAGACAGCATTCCAGAACAACAAAAAATCTGACCTAAAATGCCATTAGTGCTGATGTTGAAAAATCCTGAGCTAGACATAAGAGACTGTTCTGGGAAGGTGGGTTTTTCCCTGAATTTCACAGCTTCAGGAGGTTCATAAGCCCCTTAAAAATATACACAAAATTTTAGCCTGGTCTGGGGAAAGGGTCATAGCTTACATCTGATTCTTAAAGGTGTCCATCACCAGAGGAGTCTTAAGAAACCTGAAAACCAAGGGTTTCAGGGACCAAGGATGAATAATGTGATTTCACTCAGAATATTATTGGGAAAGGCAGCTGGATCTGTTTGCTGTACATCAACCTGAGGTCTTAGTGGAGCTACTGAAAACCTGTAAGAAGGTCATGATAGGACAAAAGTTGTGTCATAACATGAGTTGTCTTGAAGTGGCTCCTCTATGCCAGGTGCCCAGGTTCTTTTCAATCAGGCTGCAAAACAGTATTCTCCTTTATGGGCTCTCTCATTCATTCCTCTATACCTAACCAGGCACCAACTCATGCTAACATTTCCTTCAAAACAAACCTTTCCTCTTCTCTTATCAGAGTCAACATCCTAGTCTAGGCCCAACCCATTCATTCTTGGGACTGCAAAGCCCTCTTCCTTTTTTTTTTTTAAGATTTTATTTATTTATTCATGAGAGACAGAGAGAGAGAAAGAGGGAGAGACATAGGCAGAGGGAGAAGCAGGGTCTCCGCGGGGACCCTGAGGCAGGACTCAGTCCCAGGACTCCAGGATCACACCCTGAGCCAAAGGCAGATGCTCAACCACTGAGCCACCCAGGTTTCCCCCAAAGCCCTCTTCCTAATGAGCCTCTGGTTTATTCAACTTTGCAAACACAGCACCTAACAAACTTCTTGGTAGTGGCAAGCATTCAGTAAGTTGTACTGCCAATTGAGGATGAGAAGAGAGTCACAAGACTACCCCAAATTAGTTAAAACAAATTAGAGCTATCTCTCATTACTCCCATTATGTGGGAGTAGGTTACTCATCTGGAGAGGTTCCTAATTAGGTCCCAGCATATAATGTGGATTGGGGATTGAGGGGAAGGAATGGTAAAGTAGAAGTAGAACTTCCCAGCTAGGACTAGGGCAAATGTGACAAATTGAGTTTTCAATGGATAATTCCCACCTTCCCCCAACTCCAGTAGGATACTCAGGGATAATCAGCCAGATAGGGAGGGTGTATAAGTCTATCCCAAGTCCACAAACCAGTCATTTGCTGATTCCAGGCTTATTTCTTGTCACAGTATCCCCTAGCTATAACTTTCCTTAGATACCAAGTTCTGCTTTTTTCTTTTCTTCTTTTATTTTTTTAAGTAGTCTACACATCCAACCTGGGGCTACGTGGAACATAGGACCGGGAGATCAAGTGCACATGCTCCACTCACTGAACCAGCCAGGTGCTCCAGATACCAAGTTCCTATTATCTTCCTTCACACTAAATCCTCAGTAGGTCTCACGGCTAACTATAAATTGCACACCTTATCTGTTTAAAAATTGTCCCTGCCCTTACCTACACATAAGGCTCATTTTCCAGGAACCTCCTCCACTCTCCTCTCCACCAACCTTCTTCTGTTCTTCCTACTGAGTTCCTCGCTGTCAGAGGAGCGAGATTTTTATTAGTTAGCTGCACTCACACCGTACCTCTGAACTCCAGATGCCACTCTTCTGCTACTCACCTTTGCCTACAGAAACCTTCCTTTTCCAACTTTTTTTTTTTTAAGATTTTATTTATTTATTAGAGAGAGGCAGAGACACAGGCAGAGGAAGAAGCAGGCTCCACGCAGGAAGCCGGAACGTAGGACTCGATCCCGGGTCTCCAGGATCACGCCCTGGGCTGAAGGCGGCGCTAAGCCGCTGAGCCGTCCAGGCTGCCCCCAACCATTTTCTTCTTACGCGGTCAATACAGCTCGATTTAGTGCTTAGTTGTTTTGGACGCTTTCCATCCCATGTGTGTCAGCTTCCCCAGCACACCCACATTCAGAATTAAAGCACGCACCCAGTCTTCACCTGGGTAGCCCATCACCCCCTCCACCCCCCACCCCCCCCCCCCCCCAGAGGAGACACCCTAACACAGCCAAGATTGCCTGGTGAATTTTAATTTGGATTTGTTGAAGTTAAAATCGGGATCGCGACCCCCAAGTATTCTTGAGTTGGTTGCTGTGTATATATTTGGTGATCCACCTGGAAATCCAACGTAACCTAAGTATTCAAGGCAATGTTAAAACCAATATACACGGGAAGATGGGGAAAATCACTTTTAAAAACTGCAGCATCTAACCATCTCCGTAAAATTGTCTACCACCCGAAAACCTCGAGAACGAGTCTGCTGGACCCAAAACGAAGGAACTCGGAACAACCCCCCCCCCCGCCCCCCAAAGTCACTCAAAATAACCTCCGCGAGGCGCCTCAGCGGGCGGAGCCGGCCGAAATACAGACTCGCAAAAGTCCCACCCCCGCTCTACTCGCGGGGCGTGGAGGGTCGCTGACTCCACCCCCTCCAAGAACGCTGGGCTGTGATTGGCTACGACGCGTCCTGAAGCTGCCCAATAGCGAGCGAGCAGCTGCTTTAGCCTCCGGAGCTTGCAGGAGGAACATGGCGGACCGGCTCACACAGCTGCAGGACGCGGTGAACTCGGTGAGCAATTTTGCTCTGTTGGTCTCTGTCTTCCCCTTTCTTAAGGTAAAACGGGGGGTGGGGGGTGGCGGCAAAGGGCCCCGGGAAAAACACACGAAAGTGGGGAGCGGACTGAGGCAGGGCTTCCGCAGAAAGCGCTGGCGGCGGCGGGAGGCGGCGCGGCGTCCTGGGAGGTTTGAGGCCGGCTGCCGGCTTCGCGGAGAGCTGAGGGAGCAGCAGCCTCTTTCACCGGAAAAGTAGGGGATCTCTCTGTCAGGACACTTAGGCGTCACGGTCCTGCCCTGTTCTCTGGGAACAGTTTTATTTTACTGCCAGTCGTACTTCTGGGCTCACTTCTCTTTCGGGGGGTAAGGGGAAAAGCGGCAGAAGCTCCTTTTTCCCCTTATCAGTGTTAAGCCGCGAAGGAGAAACTGTGCTCCTGACGATTGGATATATTTTTTTTTTTTTTTTGTTAAATGTCAGCCGAGAGTATTCCTGCGTCAGGACTTTGCAGGTTGAGCCTCGAGTGATGGTGAGGTGAGAAATTCTGTTTCCTCTTCGTTGGTTCCCAGAGACAAAGGGTCTCGTTCCATCTCTTGGCGCTCCCTGGCATCAGTCAGTTTTGGGGAAAACTGACATCTTTAGGAGAGTGAATCTTCTAATCCTTGCACATGTTCCCATTTGTTTAAGTCTTTAATGTGTCGCAAAAAGTCTACTTTCTGTTAAGGGTCAGATCTTGTAAGCCGACCCCCTTACTTTGATCCTTATTATTTTTTCCTGTTATGCCTGACTGGAAAGTACATGCGAACCAGAGGATTCATGTGCTCATGACCATAAAGAGCTCAACAGTTTGCCATTAGTTATATTTCTCATTGTCAATCTGGTTTTTTTTAAATTTTTTTTTAATTTTTATTTATTTATGATAGTCACAGAGAGATAGAGAGGCAGAGACATAGGCAGAGGGAGAAGCAGGCTCCAGGCACCGGGAGCCCGACGTGGGATTCGATCCCGGGTCTCCAGGATCGCGCCCTGGGCCAAAGGCAGGCGCTAAACCGCTGCGCCACCCAGGGATCCCCTGGTTTTTGTTTTTTTTTTTTTTTTTAAAGGTTTTATTTATTTATTCATGAGAAAGAGAAGTAGGCTCCATGCAGGGAGCCCGACGCGGGACTCGATCTGGGGTCCCCAGGATCACACCCTGGGCGGAAGGCGGCGCTAAACCGCTGAGCCACCCGGGCTGCCTGTCAATTTGTTTATAATTTGATATCCCAGGTCAAATGTCTGTAGAGAGAGTATGTTGACTGGAAAATCGAAGTATCTGGTCCCTTGCCAGTTTTTTTCACACCGGAAGATAAGAAGTTAGGATTCTTGTTGCATTCATCTTTGTTCACTTCAAGTGAGGGGGGAATCGACTTGTGAAAAACTGATTTACTCCGGGCAGCCCCGGTGGCTTAGCGGTTTAGCGCCACCTTCAGCCCGGGGTGCGATCCTGGAGACCGAGGATCGAGTCCCACCTCAGGCTCCCTGCATGGAGTGGGCTTGTGTCTCTGCCCCTCCATCCCTCTCTCTCTCTCATGAATGAATAGTCTTTAAAAAAAAAAAAAAACTGACTTACTCCGTAAATAAAATAAGACCTTTTAGGACTGAATGGGCTAGCCCCTAAAGGTTGATGAAGTCAATAAGATAAATTCTACTTTATGGTGACATGCATTGGCTACCAGCCAACTTTCTTCTGGGAGATATTCCTTTGAGGCTCTTCAGAATCAAATTGTAACGATGCTGCTGGGCAGAAATGTTATTTTAGGAGAAATGTTGCATATTCATACATGTCTTGTAACCAAAGAGATAATAGGAGACAGTGAATATGGCCTTGACTCCAGGGTAAGCATGCTGATAATTGGATTTTGGAGAGAAATCTCTAGGTTAACTAGTATGAATGCCTAATGTGTATGTAAGCACTCTCATGTTTACAGAAAAATACTCCTTGAGGAGTTTACAGTCTAATTGGAATGATGTCATATACTCAAGACATTTAAATAATTCAAAAGTAGGATTTGGTTAGGTGGTTATAATGAATCAAGCGCCTTCAAATGTAAGTGCTGAGGTAAATTGGAATAGAGAGTGATATGAACTGAAGTAAAGGAAATCTTCTAAGCATTGATCTGAATTGTAATTATTTGTAAAATTATTAAAGTTATTTGTTTTACCCCCTGAGAACTCCATGAGGGCAGAAGCTGTGCCTTTGTTCATTGTTTCATTATAATGTTTATTACAATGCTTGTCATAGAGTTGATTTTTTTAATATTTATTGAATAAATGGATCTTGAGAGAGCTTTTGAAGAACACAACAGATAGCCACTGTGTTGAATATTTATGCTTGTGTGTTTTCTTTATTCCTCAGAACAGTGGTGTAATGTGAAAATGTTCCCAGTTTAAAAATTAAAAACTGTACTCAGGTTACTAGAACCAGAATTGGAATCCACATTTGTACAGCTTCTAAAGCACTTAATACTGTGCCATTACAAGTAGCAAAACGTGAGCAACACAGTGTAGTCTGGAATGAATTTATCACTAGTTAGGTATATATGAAGGAATTAGTAGAAAATGAAGAAGTAGAGTTGACTTAGATTATCAAAAGCTTTGAAATAGCCTGAAGGGCTGGAGATTAATCTTAAAGGCCATGTTGGGGTGAGCTCAAATTAAAAAAAAAAAAAAAATTTTTTTTTTTTAAAGATTTATTTGAGGGCAGCCCGGATGGCTCAGCAGTTTAGTGCCGCCTTCAGCCCAGGGCGTGATCCTGGAGTTCCAGGATCGAGTCCTGCATTGGGCTCCCTGCATGGAGCCTGCTTCTCCCTCTGCCTGTGTCTCTGCCTCTCTATCTCTTCTCTGTGTATTCTCATGAATAAATAAAAGCTTAAAAAAAAATATTTGAGAGAGAGAACACAAGTGGGAGGGGCAAAGGGGGAGGGAGAGAATATTGAGCAGACTCCTTGCTGAGAGTGGAGCCCTACACAGGGCCTGATCTCATAACCCTGAGATCACTACCTGAGCTGAAACCAGGAGTTGGACAATTAACCAACTATACCACCCAGATGCCCCTGAGCTCAGAATTTTTAAGCAGGGTAAAATAAGTAGAGAACTAGAAAACTAGAAGGAGACTATTGTAACAGTTCTGTTGTGAGATAATTGAACTCCTGCTGTTACAATGATGATAGAATGAAAAGAAAATAGAACTATTTGAAGATGAAAGGAGATTAAGAGTGAAGTTAGACTGGTTTATAACTAGGAGATTCTCAATAAGATTAGATATTAAAGTAAACAGTTGACTTTGAGTTCTGTCATTTAAAAAATGGCAGAGAAACTTAGTGGAAATAGTTACTGATTGGAAATAAGTGAGATTCAAAAGGTCAGGACTATTGAGGGAAGCTGGTGGGGAGGATAGGAGTTTTAACTTTGCCAACTGTAAGGAACTGGTATTCTCTTGTCTTCAAAACTGCTTAAGGAATACTGTTAGAGCACTGGGAGTTTACAGCTTGAGTCACAGAGGAAAACATTTCCAAGTACTTAAGGTAGAGTTTTTTTTTTTTTTTTTTTTAATTGAGATATAATTGACAGAACATTAGTTTCAGGTGTACAACATAATGGTTCACTATTTGCATATATTGTGAAGTCACAATAAGTCTAGTTAACATGTCACTGCACTGTAGTTATAAAGTTCATTTTTTTCTTTTGATGAGAACTTCTAAGATAACTCTCTTAGCAATTTTAAAATATACAAACAGTATTAACCATAGTCACCATACTGTACGTTATATCCCCATGACTTAAGGGGATAGGAAGGTTGTACTTTTTGACTCCCTTCACCCTTTTTGCCCACCATAAGCCCCACCTCACCTCTGATAACCAGGAGTCTATCCTTTGTATGTGAGCTCAGTTTTTGTTTAGATTACTCATATAAGTGAAATCATGTAATATTTGTCTTTCTCTGACTTATTTCATTTAGCATAATGCCCGCAAGGTCTATTCTTGTTGCAATGGCAAGATTTCCCCCGTTTTTCTTTAATGGCTGAATGATGTGCCTGTGTGTGTGTACCACAGTTTCTTTTTTCATTCACGCATCATGGCCTTATAATTTCTTCAGGTGGAGTCTTTTCCCCACTATTTTTTTATAGTTGTAACTACTTTAGTCTCAAAAAAGGTATCAAATACTTTGTATATAAATTACATATTTTAAAATTTATCCTAAGGCCATACTTACATATTTGCCAGTCAGATTTGCTTTCTTCCACCGCTACCCCCCAAAAATCCCTACTTATGCTTGTAACAAGTGTTGGCATATATTTGTCTTCTCATTCTGTTACCTTGGGAAGAAAACAAAGATTATCTTGTATTTCCTTTTAACTGTTTCAACTATGTTGATACCAAACCTAGTTTCCTTGCATGATTAAACATTTAATCATTGTTAGTAATAACTAGCTAATTTTATCCCAGATTCTTCCTGTTTTATTCCCTTGCTTAGATATTGTTATTATAGAGACTTATTTTTGTTGCTATTACTGGTAAAATCCTTAAAACTGATCAGTCCTTTCTAACTCTGACACGTTTTCTTTGGCTTCAAGCTTGCAGATCAGTTTTGTAATGCCATTGGAGTGTTGCAGCAGTGTGGTCCTCCTGCTTCTTTCAGTAATATTCAGACAGCAATTAACAAAGATCAGCCAGCTAATCCTACAGAAGGTAAATAGATTTTCTTGACTTCTCTTCATTTGACCCTTATAATCTTTATAATCTTTTAATATTAAATTTATTGAGAAATACAGCTTACTTATGGTTTGAGAATATTACTGTAAGTTTTGTTATAAAAGATGATTTCATTAGTCATTCTACATCTCGTAATTCTGTTCATGACAAAAAGCAGATTGTTATTCCTTTAGAGCTGACTTTACATGAATTTAGCAGAATTTCACTTGAGGGGCCTTAATAAGGAAGGCATTCCATTTACATATTCCTTTATTCAAATGACTGACATACTGTCCTAAAAAAACATGTGATAGGGTTGGTGTGTTAGAATTACATTTTAATCATTCAAAGCATAGTACAGAAAAAGTTTATGACCTTCTCTGGTTTCATTAGGTTCAAATTTAATTTCTACTTCTGAAAACTTGACATTTCCTAATACTCTAAATGAGTAATATCTTTCTTTAGAATATGCCCAGCTTTTTGCAGCACTAATTGCACGAACAGCAAAAGACATTGATGTTTTGATAGATTCATTACCCAGTGAAGAATCTACAGCTGCTTTACAGGTAAAAATGTCTTTTCCTTTGAGAAATTTGCTAGTAGAGTATTTTGATTAAAGGAGGTGTTTTTTTTTTTTGTTTTGTTTTTTTTTTTAAGATTTTATTTATTCATGAGAGTGTGTAACACTGAGAGAAAGAGAGGCAGAGACACAGGCAGAGGAAGAAGCAGGCTCCTTGCAGGGAGCCCGACATGGGACTCGATCCCCAGTCTCCAGGGTCATGCCCTGGGCTGAAGGTGGCACTAAACCACTGAGCCACCCAGGCTGCCCAGGAGATTTTTTTTTTTAAGTTATCTCTACACTGAACCCATGAGGGCTTGAACTCATGACCCCAAGATCCAAGAGTCACAACACTCCTCTGACTGAGCCAGTCATTGCCCCAAAGATTTAATACCTTTTGTTACAATATTCAAAGTTTCCTTAAGATTAAGTTTCATTTATTTATTTTTGAAAGATTTTATTTTTAAGTAATCTCTACATCCAACATGGGGACCGAACTCACAACCCCGAGATCAAGAGTCACATGCTCCACTGACTGAGCCAGCCAGGCATCCCAAGATTAAGTTTTAAAATGGAAGTTTTGTTAATTGTAAACTACTGTAGTCTATTAAAGATCATGCTGAATATATATGGTTGTCCAATTTTGAGCTATAAGGAAACTTCTTAGTCTTCTCAGTTTGGCTCTTTTCCTAGCAAAGAATGAAAGGAGGGTGGCATTCTGGGTGTGGAGTAGAATAGTAGTGTCCAAAAGCAGTGTCACATCTAGAGTGTCACATCTAGACAGAGATCTCTAATTGAAAATTCATTCTTTTAAATAATTCATACAGGGAAAGCTCCTTAAAAGTTACCTGATTTTAGAGTTTCTTTTTTTTTTTTAAAGATTTATTTATTTATTTATTTAATCATGAGAGACAGAGAAAGAGAGAGGCAGAGACATAGGCAGAGGGAGAAGCAGGCTCCATGTAGGAAGCCCGATGTGGGACTCGATCCCTGGACTCCAGGATCACGCCCTGAGCCAAAGGCATATACTCAACTGCTGAGCCACCCAGGCATCCCCTGATTTTAGAATTTCTGACACTGAAAAATCTATCATAATGGTTGCAGAATCATCCAGATTTAAAAGTAAATACTTCTGCAGTTTTTTTTTCTTCTCAACTCTTAACTAATCTCCAAGTTTTTCATTTCTCAAAAGATTTTTAAATTTGTGTCTTACAAAGGCTGCTAGCTTGTATAAGCTGGAAGAAGAAAACCATGAAGCTGCTACATGTCTGGAGGATGTTGTTTACCGAGGGGACATGCTTCTGGAAAAGATACAAAGTGCACTTGCTGATATTGCACAGTCACAACTGAAGACAAGGAGTGGTACCCATAGCCAGTCTCTTCCAGACTCATAGTACCGGTATCTCTACCATGTGGGTGAGAAAAGAACTATTTCAGTGCCATTAAGAGTTCTGCATCAAATTTAGATGTAAGCCTTACCAACAGTTAAAGAAACATTAAGCACTATGACACATGTTACCTTTTTAGCTATTTTTTAATAGTCTTCTATTTTCACTCTTGATACATAAGCCTCTAAAATGCGATTGAACCAGTTTTAAACCATCATATCATCATTTTTTTATTATCGGAATGAAATTATTGAGGCAGATATTGCATTAATGGTTATATTATTATTAAACAGATGTACTTTAAAATTCTGTTGTGACATTTCTATTTTTATTTTTATCAAATTTCTACAGTCTTTTTTGCAAATCAAATATCCCTCAAGCCAAAGGAGAAATGGTAAATGTAGAGATATGGGACATTTCAATATAGGCTGATATCCTTCTGCCTCTTCACATTATATAAATTTGGAGTTTGAGCAAGGAAGGTTTCTGAAACCATATTGCTTTTAAGAAACTTAGGGTTAGTGTAGTTCGGTGAGAGATTAGATCACTTTTATGGAAACATTCCTCTTTTTCCAGAACCTCATACCCATTTTGTTTCATCTCCCATATGTGTTTCTACTGAGAAAAGCCTCAGGAGACAGAACAAGTTACAATATGATCGTCTTTCCTATCATAGAATTGCAATGCTATTATGAGAGGATTTTTCTTCATCCTGAACTATCCTTTCACATATCTTTTGACCTGCTTTTTTCATTCTTAATTTGCATAATAACATATGTTCCCAGAGTTACTGATTCCTTCTCATCCTTTTTCTCTATCTGAAGGTTCCGTCATCTGATCTTGTTAACCTTTTAGTCTTTATTCCTGCATTCTAATCTGACCAGAACATAATTCTGCTACATCAGTTACTTTAATTCATTTTCTGCATTCTACCTTAGTTTATTATTGCTTACATTTGTATCAGTATCATCAAATATGATTGTGCAGCCAGCTTTTTATTCTTGAATCCACTGATTATTTCCACTAGAATGCTGGAGTTGAAATGTATTCCATATTGTAACTTGTTCTGTCTCCTGAGGCTACAGTTTTCAGAATATGCTCAGCTACATTTACTGCAATCTAGTACTACCCAGAGTTTAAGAAAGTGCAAGAACAATAGTCTGAGATTCTGTTACTCCCATCATAATCCAGCTCTTCCATAGTTCTTGAAAAATATTGTTTAGAGGCACATTTTAACTCCAAAATACAATTTATAGAATCATTAATTTTTAAAGTTATATTAAATGTTACCATACCAATAGATATTAAAATGTTTGCTTATTCTCTCTGATATCACTTAAAATGCGTTTTACTTAAGTTTTTTTTAATTTTTATTTTTAAGTAATCTTTTGGGCTTGAGCTTACAACCTTGAAGAGTACGTGCTCTACTGACTGAGCCAGCCAGGTGCCCCATGAGTAATCTTGCTTGCTTGCTTGCTTTCTGCTTTCTCTTTTTCTTCCTTTAAGGTTTTTTGTTTTAGTTTTTTGTTTTTTGTTTTTTAATTTTTTTTGAGGGAGAGAGAGAGAGAGAGAGAGAGAGAATGAGCAGAGCAGGGAGGAGAGCAGGGAGGAGAGGGAGGAGGAAAAGCAGATACCCTGCTGAGCAGGGAGCCCGATGCAGGACTCATCCCAGGACCCCAAGATCATGACCTGAGCTGAAGGCAGACTCTTAACTGACTGAACCACCCAGGCACTCCATTAAGTTTTACTTATTTAAGTACTCTTTATACCCAACATGGGGCTCGAACCCCAAGATCATGAAGTACATACTCTCCTGATTGAGATAGGTGTCCCTTTAAAATTTATCAGAATTTTATCAGACACCTGGGTGGCTCAGTGGTTTAGCAACTGCCTTTGGCCCAGGGTGCGATCTTGGAGTCCCAGGATCGAGTCCCGTGTCGGGCTCCCGGCATGGAGCCTGCTTCTCCCTCTGCCTGTGTCTCTGCCTCTCTCTCTCTCTCTCACTCTCTATCATGAATAAATAAATAAATCTTTAAAAAATAATAATAAAATGAATTTTTAAACACTAGCATGAGGTAGAAGATAAGGAACTGACAAAGTAATATTCAAAGTACTGAATAATACAATTAGCTGCTAGAAAAAAGTGTAAAAAGTTATATAGCATTAAGCTGGTAGACTACTGTTATCCTTACCTGAGATTTTTATATTTGAAATTACCTGTTTTTTTTCTGGTTTAAGGTGTTCTAGAAAAAGGGTAATACATATTCTGAAATATTCATAAAGATTTTATAAGATAAGTCATAAAGACTGTATACAGTAGCTTCTCTTAGCCATCATTTTGTGTACATGGCTGTTGGATGAGGAAGTCCTTAAAGCTGAAATGGTATGGGCAGTGATGATTTTGCTGCCTGGTACACAGCTTTGGGAGGACAAAAAACAATGGATATCTATGTCTTTCATCTTGCAATTCCTCCCCTTCTACCCAGATCTAAGTTGTTTTAAGGAGAAAAATCCTTAAAGATGGGGCAATGGTCTTTCTCTTTGCAAAGGACCATAGACCCTATGTCCCTGTTGGAATTTTCTGGGGATTAAGGAAAGGAGGGACACAAACCTTCATGGCTTTGTTGGATATGGACACCCAGGTTACTATCATACTTGGCCTAGTGGGAGAGAGAACATGCAAATTCAACTTTGGGTCTAAGCAAAGTAACCAGTGAGGAAGTTAAATATAACTTTATTGCTAAATATGACTTAGGCTGACCTGATAACACTGTGGTTATAGCTTCTGTGAATGTATTATTGGAATAGACTTCATGTACACTTATAATTCCCCACATAAATGCCAGAGAAGATACTCCCATTCAGGACATGCTAAAAGTAGAGAGGTAGTCTTGTGTGTGACATGTAAAACAGTTTCCAACCAATCTTTCTGTCCTTTGCCTATGGAGTGCCTGGCCAATGACAGTTGAACACTGTGTTCCTGGAAAACAGTGAAGTTCCTCCATCCTATTGTATTTCTGTCAAATGGCTTCCTGCAAAGAACTACCTTTATCCCTCTGATTTTGTTTACGTGTGACAAAGCTAGACCCAGACCTCCAAATTCCCATTCTTTGTCTCATAAAGGGTTATTTGAACTGTTTGTCCCCATCGATCAATCTGGACAGAATGCCCTGTTACAACTGGATCAAACTTTAGTCTTCTCCCCTCAAAAACTCCTGAACTTTACCCTCAGTCTGAACCTGCACTGGAATGTGGAATAGTATCTCAGTGACACCTCCTGAAAATTAACTGATCATTAAAAAAAAAAGACTTTCCTCGATCAACTGTCTCATATCAACTGCTCATCTCACTCCCTTACACTCAGATTTTTATATCATTGTTTACATACTCCTTCCTATTAAAGATAGTTCTTTTCCACCTGATATTTGAGACAATTGGAGATCCTATGGTCAGTGCATTCTCATTGCAACAACATTTTCCAATAAAGTTTTTCTGTATTCAAGTCTGGATTTGTTTTTACTTGACACCACTTGTGTAAAAAGAAACCTCCTCTTCTCTCATCACATAGCCCCAGGGGCTAAGATTGGGGCAAAGGGCGCTGAGGCACTCATTCACTGTGAAGTAATAAGAAATCTGTCTCTCAGAACATCTTATGTGTACATTTAGGATAAGATTCATAAAGAGAATATTAATATTAAAAACCCAACCCTATGAGATGTAAATAACTCAGAGTTGAAAGAGGAAATTATAACAGAGATTAGGACATAATTCAAAACTTAATGAAAATATTACACATAGAGACTTGGAGTGCAGCAGGCACGCAAGGGAGGTGACCTCGAGGCAGGTAATAAATCCTCATTAGTCAAGATGTCTTCAGCACCTGTGCCTCCTGGCTTTAAAAAGGAACCGCACAAAGAGGCAGACTTTGGAAACCCAGGGCTCAGGGGTCTGTACAGCAACCTTATTTCCAGTTGTGAATCCAGAGCTCTTCATTAAACCTAACCTGTAATGACTTTTGGATTCACGTGGCTTGCATTGGTTATCTACATGCAACACGAGAATACAAAGAACCTTTCTGAAGCTATCAATAGGGACACGGTTCTTTGAGGAGGAAAACATCTAGATAGGATTAATAGTGCTGGATACTGCAGATGGAGCTTTATTGAGGGCTCTGAAATCATCAGATGAAAAACTGCAGTCTCATGCTTCTTGTTCTGGAATGCATTGATGATGAAAGAAGGTAGCAGTTGCAACCAGACCACTAGAGTAAATTTCATTGTCACAGAGCTGCAGCCCTTCTGTCAGTCTCCACAGCAAGAGCTTCTCAATATTTTTCTTTTATTAAGTCTTTGAATAAAAGTGCTATGGGAATGGAAGTCATTTTTGTTAATTATTAAGTTAATTATTAAGTTATTAAGTACCCAGTGATGTTAAAAACTTGTGGCATTCTAAGTAGGAAAAAAATGTAAGTATTACCTTCTGTGGTTATATTAGGAAAAAAGAGGCTGAAAATTCGTGAGCTAAGGTTCCAACTGAAAGAAGGAAGGAAATAATAACAAGAAATAAGCAAACAACCATGCCACGAGAAAATAAGGAAAAGCCCAAAGTTGGGCTTCAAAAGAAGTAATAGAATTGACAATTTAGGCAAGTTTGGTCAAGAAAAAAAATGATGTAAATAAACAATAAGAAGAGGTCATATGCATTGATCTTAAAATACTAGAAAATTTGAGTAATGTTATGCCAATAAATTTGAAAATTTTTGGTAAAAAGATGTATTCCTAGAAAATGTAGCAAATAGAAATTATGGTCATACAGCCTTTAAAAAAATTCAGTCAGAAGTCTCCACAAAGAAAACATTAAGTCTAGAGAGTTTTATAGTTTTGTTAAACATTCAGAGAGAAAAACTCTAATTTCACATAAAGCTCATTATTAAAATTTCACGGACAGTACAGAAGTAAAAATTGAAACCAATCCCTCTCATGAATATGCAAAAATAGTAGCAAATTAAAAGCCATTAGGTATGTATTAAAAATTGACTATCACAAATTTATGTTTAATCCCAGGGATACATGGAAGTTTTATCTTTGTAAGTTATTTTGTATTTTTATGAATTCTAAGATGCCCACCATTTTTTTTTCTTAATTATATCTTAAATTGGAATATTCAATGGGTGGTGGTTTTTTGCTTCCTTATTGGAACATAGAATGGTACGTTTTATAATTGGTGGGATCTTTGGTTAAAAATAGTAATTTGTCACATTAGGCCAAAATCAGAATCATATGATCATGTAACTTGTTGATAAAATTCAACATCTATTTACGAAAAAACTTGGCAAGGGAGAAACAAAAGCATTTTTAAAATATGAACTACAAAATATGGTGAACATCATATTAAAAGGTCAAGTGTATTTTCAGTTTGAGAAGACAAGGATGATTGCTGTAAACATATCTACTCATCTTTGTGCTGATAGTCGTAAGCAATACATCTAGCCATGAAAAGGACATAAAAATTATCAAAGAAAGGAAACGATTCTTATTATATAAGGATGAAATAATAACCCAGCGAGGAAATAAAGAGGATTCCATGGATATATTTTGGAATGGTTGTTGGATGTAACCACAATGCACAACACACCGGCCACAAATGGAAGGAAAATACTTAAAAAAAAAATTTTTCTGGGGGCACCTGGGTGGCATAGTTGGTTAAATATCTAACTCTTGGTTTCAATTCAGGTCATGAGATGGAGCCTGTGTCGGACTCTGGGCTCAGCGCAGAGTCTACTTGAGATTCTCTCCCTCTGCCCCTCCTATTCATTCTCTCTTTCTCGATAAATGAAATATCAAAAACATTTTTTCATACCATCAAAAATATTTCAAGGAATAAGTACAACTCAAATATAAGACAAAAATTAAGGAAAAATTCTAAAACTTAATTTTAAAACATTTTAGACTGAAATAGTAATACTATATGGAACAGAAGAGTCATTAAAATGTCAGTTTTCCTCACAGATTCATAGATTTAATACGATTTTAACTAGGTTTCCAACTGAGATTTCTCTGGAAATTGACAAGTTATTTCTAAAATTTATTGGAAGTCCCAAATGGCAATAGATCTCAAGATACTCATGAGGAAAACATAATGACAGAGCTTGCTTTAATAGTAATTAACACAGCATATATTAGTACAGGGATAGACAGACCCATGGAAGAGAACAGAGACTCAGGATAGGACAGGAAAGAATTTTTAAAAATAGATACAAAAAGTTCACATCATAAAGGAAAAATAAAAATTATAATAAGCAATATGTGTCAGACACTTTCAAACTTACATATATTAACCAATTTAGAAAAGGTTAAATTCAACTGCATTAAATTTAGACCTTCTGTTCATTAGAAGGTTCCATAAAGAGTGAAGATGCAAACTCAGGAAGCAGTTATTTGCAATACTTGTAACTGCACAAAGGGTTAGTATCTAGAATATGTAAAGCTCTTCTATGAATTAATAAGAATCAATAGGAAAAAGATGAATAATCCAGTAGAAAAATTGCAAAACAGCCATTTCATAGTAGAGAAATAGCCGATAAAGAAAAAAAATGCTCCACCCCTTTGGCAATCAGAAAATTTTTTGAAAAGATTTTATTTATTCATAAGAGACACAGAGAGAGGGGCAGAGACATAGGCAGAGGGAGAAACAGGCTCCCTGTGGGGAGCCGGATGCCGGACTCGATCCCCAGACTCGACCTGACCTGAGCGGAAGGCAAGTGCTCAACCACTGAGCCACCTAGGCATCCTGGTAATTAGAAATTTTAATCTGGCTTTCTAGGTCTTTAGGAAATTAAGCTTTTCTAGGCAGGAAGACAGCATACTTTTTAATTTAACACTTTGCTAGCTTGATTTAAATTTTATACATTTGGATATGTGGTCCATGAGTTTCCATGCATTCTTGACCAGGCTACATATGTTCAGGACAGGCCTATGAAACATATGTTTATATAACTCAAAAGGCGATTCCAAGGACAAAATTTAGGTCAGTTATTACTCTGGTGGGGAAAGGGATGCCATTAGGGAAGAGCACAGCAGAACTTTTAAGGTAATGTAAAAATATTCTTGAACCAAGAGGTATGTATTTTAAAAAACTAATGCAAACTATATTTTCTTTATTTTAGAGAAAGAGAGTGAGAGAACAAGTGCGAGCGGGTGGGGAGGGGCAGAGGGAGAGAATCTTAAGCAGGCTTCACGCCCAGTGGGAGCCCACACACTGTCATCTCACTACCCTAAGATCACGAGCTGAGCTGAAATCAAGAGTTGGATGTTTAACCGACTGAGTCACCCAGGTGCTCCTAATGCAAGCTGTATCTAAAAGTCATGCTTTCAATAATAAGGTATAAAGCAGCACAGTTTTAAGCAGCATGATACGTTGTTTCATCTAAGTTTGAATTTAGGCAAAAGTGGCTTGCTCTTAGCTGTTATAGACACTGCTGGGAGAGGCTTTTCAATCTTCTTCCATTCATTCTGTCCGCCACACTCCTCAAAAGTTCAACAATAGGTAGAATTTAGAAAGATGAACTTCCTATTACCATGACCCTACTCCTCATCCTGTCTCTGCCTATTTAGGGTTCTCTCTTTCTTTTTTTTCTTTCCAGATTGTCAAAGGGAGACCTGAGAATAGTAGGAAATCTCCATGAAGGCACTGATGCTGCGGGTTGGAACTTCTGAGACCAAGCCGATAGCAACCTTTCACCACCAGAGGGCAGTTTGACCCTAAATTTTGGTTTTATTGAGGCAGTAGTTGGATAGGGTATTTTGTGACCCTGAGAGATACTTAAGGATTAGCTAGCTAGTTTGGTAGCAGCAGCCACATGTGCATGTGCGTGTGTGCGTGCGTGCGTGTGTGTGTGTGTGGTGTGTGTGTGTGTAAGAGAAAGAGGCCACATATCAGAAATCAGCTACATTCTAGCTGAAGGGCAGCCCTATGTAATAAAAGTAATGTGAAAACTGCTTAAGCACTGCCACTTATTAGCTGTGTGAGCTTGGGCAAGTTAGCTGTGTCTTAGCAACTGTAAAACAGGGATAATCTTACTAATAACCTCATGGGATTGTTATCAAGGGTAAATGAATTTATATATGTGCAATAGTCCAGCATCATCCTCTAGGACATGTATGGTTTTTGTAGGAGCTAGACTAGTAAATTATATATAAGGATGTAGTGGGGATCATAGTCCCTATATCTTTCATGTCTTTAAGGGTGGCTTTAATTTCTCCCATAGTTCCAGGAAATATTGTTTTTTGTTTATAATATTTTAATGACATTTTATAATATTTTCAAATGTTTACAATATATATTTTTATTTATAATATTGTTTTTAACTTACTGTCTTGGCCAAGGTAGAGTGGGAGGGACAGTTTCAGAGCTTTTATTTGGCTTTTTCCACTTCCATAGCTCTTATGCTATGGGCTGAAAAACTAAAGTGGAAGTTCTGCTAACTATAAAGCTTAGTGATGT